AAAAAAAAGTTTAAAAGAAAAGAGTAAATGAGGGGGAACACAGAGGTGGCAGCACAGTCAGAAAGATGGAGAAAATGATTGGAGAAGGTGACGGCTGAAAGACTTTGATGGGTTTCCAAACTGTCAGACGTGGAGGTGCGTTATAAGCCAACTGTACTGTATAGTTAATATAGGTTCCTATATGTACACAGAGGAGGCAACAATGCTGTGCTAAAAAAAAACCTATACTTTCATTTTATGTGATTAAGATGAAAGAAAAAACAAGAGTCGGACTGTGTTTAATGCCTCCAGTCACACACTTTAGAAAGCAGCGAGTTTGATCAAAACAGACTGTGCACAGACTCATGCTTTAAGTCAGCTGGTGATTCATGTGACAGGTAGCTCTAAACGCCTTGTCGTGTTACTGGGGCTCAGCTAAAGGCTGTTTTACATCTCAAAAGCACCTCACATTTTCCCATCCTTCTTTTTCGCATACTCTGTCTATCTCTTCGGGCTTCCATCCCCCATCTCTCCATCCTGCCTCCGTCTTTATTTGCTTGTTATTTCGCCCCCCCCAACATCATTACCACACATGAAGAGACCCAGTGGGAGAACGAGTCATGAGGCGGCTTTGGCACACTGTTACACAAAAAAAAACGCAAAAAAAAGAAACACCCCACCACACACATACACTGAGCTGCTAATGAATGAACTGTTTTCTGGTCCCTGTATCTTTACATCTTTTGCAGACCATAAAATTCAAAAAGAGAAAAGAATGAATCTCAATAGGATTGCAGAAAATGCTAATGCGAGCAGGATTTATTCCGGCTTCATTGTTGACGAAGCGACTAAACGCATTTAAAGTCCAAATTAGGCAGCGCCGGGCAGAGCTGGGGTCACTGCACTGAAGCTACGAGATGAAACGAAACCGGCCGACGATAGAGCACGGCTCAGACACTCGCTGTCTAGTTGCTTTAAGTTTCCAAATCAAAACATTAACTTTCTCTTCTAGGAGAATTCAATGACTTATATTCATGTGTATATAAAAATAAAATGAATAGAAATGAAGGTGCATACGAAACGAGGTGTGTCAGAAAAGTTCCAGGACTGGTGTCACAAAAGATATATTTCAACTACAAACTACCAGTTTTCCCCTTCAGACGATCAACCAGCACGTCTACAAAGAGATCCTGCAGCGTTTGCTTTGTTCAGTGCGCCAGAAGAGGCAAGAGTTGTGGCAGGACAAGTCGTGGCTGCTTCACCATGACAACGTGCCTGCTCACAATGCCCTGAGCATCCCACAGTTCCTGGCTGAGAAGAACGTCGCCGTGCTGGAGCAACCTCCCTACTTACCCCACCTGGCTCCGTGGGGTTTTTCTTCCAGGAGTGCATGGTGGTGTGGCAGAGGAGGCTGGGAAGTGTGTCAGACTCCAGGGGGATGACTTTGAAGGGGAAAACTTGTAGTTTAGATCTGAAATATATCTTTTGTGACTCCAATCCTGAAACTTTTCTGACACACCTCGTATATGTTGCACATTAACACAAATAACATACATATTAATGAAACTGTATAGAGTTTCAGCTAAAATTAAAAAATCCAGGCTCTGCTGCAGTCGAAGGAACTTTAAGTTTAACTTTAACAGACACTGAGAAAAAGTGCTTTCCAGTTGGGATATAAGACCGACGCAAGATATGAGTTATGGACCCCTATAAATGAATATACAATCAAAATGTCCTGGACTACATTAAATAACAACCTGTGGAACCTTGTGCAGTTCGTAGAAGTCTTTGCTCCTCTAGTTTTATGGAAATGGCACAACAAACCCCCCCCTGCCTAATGTAGTGTATATGATATAAAACAGCTCTGACATATTGAGGTCTGGACTCCACAGACCTCTGAAGGTGTTCTGTGGTATCAGACACAGCTGCAGATCCTTTAAGCCTTGGAAGTTATGAAGTAGAAACTTGTTTTTCCAACAGATGTTTGATTGGATTGAAATCTAGCGAATTTGGAGGCCGAGGTCACGCCTTGAACTCTTGGTCATGTTCCTCAAACCCTTCCTGAACAATGTTGCAGGCAGCTGAAAGAGGAGATCAGGGAATAGCACTGCCATTAAGGGGTTTATATGATTTGCAGCAGTGGTTAGGTAGGTGTCAAAGTAACATCCACATAAATAAAGGAACCAGGGTTTCCCCAAAATCTGCTTTTTTGGAGATATTCTGACCCACTGGTCTTTGTCAAAGTCTCTCAGATCTTCACATCGCCCAGTTTTCCTCCTTCAAACACATCAACGTCAACAACTGACTGTCCACCTGCTCCTTATTATATCTATCTAATACATATAAGCAATGTTCTCCATTTCACCTGTCGCCTGGTTTTAATGTTGTGGCTCATTAGTGAACATAAAACCAGACAAATACACACTAACCTACAATAAAGTCAGTGTTTTACCTCCACAGAGTTCTGGGCTTCGCTCATCTTGGTAACTGTGGTTTGAAACTCTCCGATGAAGTCGTGGCCGCCGTCGTTGTCGTAGTCGTAGCACAGGACCTGATGTTGTGCAGAAAACATCACATCAGAAATCGTCTTTAACCTTCTGAAACGGGTTCATTCTTTAGTATCTTTGGTTTCACTTCACCACACAAGCACTTTTCATTTGTGTTTTTCAAGGACAATGAGTCTTTCTTCTCTGACGACCAACCTTGATGTTTCTGTCCACGTCTCCGTTGCACAGCGAAATGAGAGGCACCGTAAAAGATTTCCACGCCGGATCTAGAGTGTTTTTTATCACCTGAAGCCACAGACACACACACAAACAGACAAATCATCATACATGACAGCAGAATTACCTGAACTCGCATCTTGTAAACAAACCGGCAGCGCGTCACCTCCTCTGAGACCTGGTTTAGCCGACAATGACGGGTGATTCAGATCCCCTCCAGTGACTCACCTCTGTCCTGTGCACCAGCATCCATTTGCCATCTTCTCCCTGTTTGTGGAACTCCAGGTAGGGGTCTGACTTCCCAAAAAAGTCCTGCACAGAACACAGATCATTGGTTGGAACGTCTTTGTGGAGACAATTCCTGTTTGATCTTCATTCTTCCTCCCTTTAGCAACACTGCAACGTGTGTGCCACCACTTGATCACAGCAAAGTTGACAGAAATGTAACCTCATTCTTCTGCTGCTTCTCCACTCACTTCAAGTTCAGCTCAACTCATTTTTGTTTTTCTCAGTCGTTGCAAAGAGAGCAGCAGTGCACAATGAAATCAATAAAAAGCAGCTTGAACAAGACAGGTTTACCAACAGTATTTAAACTGCTCTTAAAATTAAAAACGCTGTTAAAGTCAAGGTCATGAATCTCATTTATTTAAAAGTGCTTCTCATTTAAAGAACAATTTTCTTTGTTGATTAACCATCAGACCTCTGTTTTTTTGTGTGTTTTTTTTGTCCCTGTCATATTTTACTCTTTTACTTTAAACCTGCACCTCTATGAAATCAGCACAACAAAGTGTAGAAATAAAGAGAATATCTTTTGTGCAGTTTAACAACGCTATTACGCAATAAGTCATGACATTAGAAAAGCAAAAGTTGAATTCCTTTGAGGATTTATTTCCCCAAAAAATGGGGGGAAACCGGGAATCAACATGTACAACATTTTTCCGAGTGCCCACAGGATTTAGCAATATTTTTTAAAAAATTTAAGAATGAAATTTTAACATGTAATTGCTGGTTGCAGGTGAGTCACTAATATCTTCATTTATGTATTTATATTTACAGTATCTAGTTACTACACATGGTATATTTTCTGTAATTTTCAAATGAGATATGCAGGAAGTGATCTTGATGAAATATCACGATTGAAAGTTTAAAGTTGGTTAAATAATTCCAGCTGTGCAGGATAAGTTAAAAGAGTTGTAGAGTTACGAAATCCAACAATTCTTTATGTTTTTAACCTTTTTGGCGCTGATAAATGTTTAATTTCTGGTGATTTTTATGCCTTTTAAACCTGGTGGATGGTTTTGGGGGTTCAGAGGGTTAATCGGCTGATTATTTTCTGGATTAATCAAGCAGCTCTTTAGTTTATAAAATATCAGAAAATGGTGAAAAATGTCTCAAAGCCCAAGATGACACCCTGAAATGTCCTGTTTTGTTCACAACCCAAAAATATTTAGTTTACTGCCATAGAGAAGGAGAGAAACCAGAAAATATTCACATTTAAGGAGTTGGAGTTTTAAATTTTGATCATTTCTACTTTAGAAAACTTTAAAAACAGTTGGCCATCAATTTAAAAGCTGACAACTAATCGATTTTGTTGCAGCTCTGATTTAAGATATCAGTGTGTAAATGTTTTTTAGCGGCTTGTAATTCATTCATTCATGTGCTCATCGCTCCAAACTGAGCTGGATGCATTAAATGAAACACCGATAAAGAGGCTTGAAGAACTGCCTGCAGAGTGTTTTCAGTAAATATCAAAGACTGAAAATAAACTGTTATAAAAATAAAGAGTTTGCGTTTCCAGCCACCGGTGCACCTGACAGCCCATTGGTTGGCAGAACGAGGTGACGAGTGTGAGAACATTTTCTGTAAATGTGTGGGCTTTGTTTGCACGTCCTAAAGTAGTATATGTTGCTCGAACGCACTCTGAGCATGTGTTTGTATTTGCATCCTGAGTGTGTGTGTGTGTGTGTGTGTGTGTGTGTGTGTGTGGGTCTAACTGCCTACCTTCTTATCCAGTTTACGCCCACTCAGGGTCAAAGTGATGATTCTGTTGTCAGACAGCTCCTGTGCTGTTATCTAAAAAAGCATTACAACATTAGCTGCAGCAGAAACACTGACAGCTACAAACATTTACATCAGCAACAAGAACCAGGAACAGAAACAGCAGCAGCCTCAGTTACGTCTTCGCTGCTGTTATGATCCGCAAATACAACCATTTTATAGAACAACACCACCAGCTGCTTTTGATCATATGTGTGCATTTGTTGTGTAAACAGGACAGACAGAAAGTTCAAAATATACAAAAAGTTCCTTTAAAGGACTGATTCTTACCATAATGGATCCTTTGCCAGCTGGCTTCCCATTGGCTAAAATCAACGGTCTGTGAAGCTTCTTATTGGACACAATCTAGTAAAGAGAGACAGACAAGACAGGAATCATTAGGAATGTGACAAAACACAGAAATATAAAGTATGTATTTAAACTTTATAGTGTGGTAACCTGATTTCCTCCAGAATACAGTCAGAATCTATTTACTTCAATCATGTCAAGTCTAGTTTGGTTTCGTTTTATTTGCCAGTTTCTCTTGCTAGCTCCTTCCTTTGACCCTCTGAGCCCCAAAAGTAAGTTATCTTTAAAAAAAAAAAAACACCAACATTAAACCATTTTAGAGGTAGAAACTGTAGAAAACTGAAATACGATCCCAAATTACTTATTTGTCATACATTTGTCCATTGAGAAACTTAGCCAAATCTGAATTGTTTTATTATTTTAAAATTTTGCCCAAAATAAATACTTTGTATTACCCATATGCTGTAAAAAACAAAAAATTCTGCGCTTCTTGGAGCAACTGTGAAGACATTAATGATTCAGCTGCAACCAACAATCACATGGAAAAAATTCAGGGACTTTTTTGCTGATTTGCAGGCAGTGTAAAGCAGAGCAGGTGGGAGACAAGTATCTATAGTTTGTAGCGCAACCCCTCCTTTCCCCCAGTATTGCTAGCAGCTGTGGGCACTTGGAAGAGCACTGTACATGTTGATTCCAGGTTTTGTCTTTTTTTGTAAAATAAATAAATAAATTCAAATTAGTTTTTTATTTCTTTATGATTTATGGCATCATAACTGTGTTATACTGCACAAAAACAATTGTTGATATCTTGTTTCTTCTAGTTATGGTTGTGCTGATTCTATAAAGGTGCACAACTTTATTACGCACTGAAAAATTTGTCAAGAAAAAGCCCCCAGAAATGCTTGTGGTTCAGAGGGTTAAAAGACACCCGTCAACCTATTTAATAACTACCGCACTTTAACCTGATAGAAATAAATCCTCTCATACCACTCCCAGCGTGCAGATGAACTCTCCCAGGAAGTCGTGTTCGTAGAGCTGCGTGGCACATTTGTCCTCATCGAACATGGCGAAGCGAAGTTTCTGGATTTCTTCAAAGTGGTAGTCCACCTGAAACTTCACCCCGAACACCGGGTTCAGGTTGTTCACAGCTGTTTCAGTGCGCCCGAGCTAAAGGACGAGAAACACAGAGAAACAAACACTGTAAAAACTAAATTCAGTTTAAGCACATGAACACGTCCTCAACATGTCAGGGAACTGATGATTAAAAATTAGCTGTACAACTAAATCTGACAGGTTTCTATCAAGTTGGTTATGTCTCCATATCATGTTTAGAAGAAAATAGCTTCATCATGTCAGTATTTAAAGCA